TGTAGAAGGGGGGGGGCCGGGGAGAAAGGGGGGGGGGGGAGAGGGACAACTCTTGCCTGTTTTGCGTCCGTGAGAGAAGGAAGAAAGGAGGAGACAAAGCACACACTGTCAAATGACATGGCACACACGCCAAGTGTGAGCGACAGTTTGGCGACAAGAGAGAGAGAGAGAGAGAGAGAGAGAGAGAGAGAGAGAGAGAGGGAGACGAGAGGGAGACGAGAAGGCGGGGTGAGGTCGGACGGGCCGAGAGAGCACTTACTCAAGGGGGCCATGACCCAGCCGTCTGCTAGCTCACGCGTAGCTTGCCCTCCTCGTCATCATACACGAGGAACAAACAACAAGCACCAAGGACCACCTTGACAAGATTCTTCTTGTCTACCCGTAACGAAAAATATTTACCACCCCCGAATAATAGATGCTGCTACATATCCCCGCGTAGTAGTACATCGTATCCTTCAGCAAATAAATGCACTCACAATACCTCATGTGCTGCGAGTCTCGCGGCCGTAGACACAAACAACCTCATGAGTTGCTCGCCGGATGCCCCTTCTACTGAACACCTCGCTCGATGGTAAGCGACAGTGTCGTGTTGTCATGGCATCCATACAATGACCCGACCTTGATTGCGCTCTCTCGCTTGTTCTATCCCCCCCCCGGAAGTGGTACGGATAGGATAGATTGGATAGGGTAGGGAAAACTTTTTGAGCCACATCTGGCCAAGTAGGAAGGAACGATTGACGATCGGTGATTGGTCCTGTGGGAACAATGCTCCGTCCTCTCGAGGACGCTTGGTCAATGATCTCACACCTAAGGCATGCAAAACATGATTATGTACCTCCCCCCCCTCTCCCCTCTCTCTCTCGCTCCGCCACGTGTTTTTCTCCGTCTGCGACCTTGCGTGTACTCGTTCACGCCGGGGGGAAACTCTCCTGTTTCCTTGTCGAGTTAGCTTGCGCCCGCTGATCGAGGAGCTCAAGACCGTCCGCAAGCAGTGCATGGAGATCGAGTCGGAGTACCAAGAGAAGCGAGGGGCACACGAAAAGGTGGACTAGACAATTAACGAGAAGGTGGACACTGTAGATAATTACCCTTCCGTATTAAGGGAGTTTAAAGTCAACAGTGACGGCAGCAGCGATCCCTAGACAGCGGGGGCTTGTCAAACGAAGTTCTTCTTTCGGTGTGTTCTCGTCAAAGAAAGGCACCACGGCATCCAAAGGGTACATGGTCCGGGTTTCACAGCCATGGGCCCTCTCGCGAGACCGCCCGTGTCAACAATCAGCATTGGAGGTTGAACATTTTTGCAGACCGAGGGGGATGTTGCTGTTCATGTTGGTGCTGACAGCGCGACGGTGGCGTTGTTGTTGTGGTTGGGGAAACACTGCGGCAGCGATGGTTGCGTTGGATGGTGAATGGTGTAGCTAGCTGTGTGTGGCGATGTTTACCCTCGCCAAAAAAAACAATCACATCCTCACCCCCCCCCCGAAAACAATTACCCACAGCAGCAGTATGTGCTGAGCATCACGCCTTCTTTTGCAATGCCAGGTGGCCGTGGGCCTCGAAGTGGAGCGGCAGCAGCTGGAACACGAATGCAACACCAGCCAGGAAGACGCTCTGGCCGAGGAGAGCCGGTACCACTTCCTGCAAAGCCTCTGCTCCATCACAGAGGCCAGGCTGCAGAGCGTGCGACAGGACGAGAGGTAGGTGCATGTGATGGCAGACAGACGCGACAGCATTACCGCTGACAGGGTGGTTGGTTTCGACGAAGGCTAGGGTAGGGGGGGGGGGGGGGGGGGGGGG